TTTCATTCAGAGCTTAGGGTACGTCTACACAGCAACATAACTCGTGTTATTTCGAAATAACTTAGTCTGTGTCTAAACAGCAGGCAGTTATTTCAAAATAATATCAAAGTACTGTCAAGCTGGAGGACTTCCTACTCCGATTCCTGTAACCCTCATTGTATGAGGAGTAAGGGAAGTCAGAGTGTTCTATTTTGAAATAAGTGCTGTGTAGATGCTCCCAATTTCGAAATAAGCTATTTTGAAATAAGCTACACATTTGACGTAGCTCAATTTGTGTAGCTTATTTTGAGGTAAGCCCTGCTGTGTAGACTCACCCTTAGGTTATGTCTACACTGCAGGCTTTTTGCAGAAGAGTTCTTGCGTAAAAGTTCTTGCGCAAGAGCATGTCCATACTGCCATGTGCTTTTGCGCAAGAACTTTTGCACTCTCTTGCACAAGAAAGCTCGGATGGCCATTTTAGCTGTTCCCATCCACACTAGCCTTTTGTGCAAGAGCTCTTGCGCAAAAAGGCTTATTCCTCGTGGAGAGAGGAATAACTCTTTCTCAAAAAGCCCTCTCTTCTGATGATCTACTGTAAACTTTCTTGCACAAGAATAGGCTTGTAGTGTGGAAGCCTGCAGTGTAGACATAGCCTTAGACACAGCCTTAGACACAGCTAGGGTATGTCTACACTACCCTCCTAGTTCGAACTAGGAGGGTAACTTCTGATGAAGAGGGAAACAGAGAAGGCGCTTGTTCTTTCCCGAGATCACCTATATAGGAAATCTGCTAAGGCCTGGATATTTAGCTCATTGTCTGACAAGTGGCTGGAGAACTAGAACAGAGACCTGCACTACAAGGTCCATCGTGTGTGCCTGCTGATTGACACGTGTCTAGCTCATTCAGATCAACACGGGTCTATTGTACATTGTGTTGAAATTTGTACCTTCCAATTCAATCTCAGGCTTGCAGTCGATGGACAAGGGTGTCATTAGCAACTTCAAAGGCCCTTAGTGCGCTCATCTGAATGTGTTCATCATTGCCGTTGCTCCTCTTGCGACTGGCCCAAGCCATCCAGTACTGAATGTTACAAAAGCCACTACACCAATTGATGCACTTTGTCTTGCTAAGGAGCTTTGGGCTGTTGATCTCTCTCTGGGTATGTCTACACTACCCCGCTAGTTCGAACTAGCGGGGTAGTGTAGACATACCCCTATTGAGAAATTACTTAGCCTTATTATTGTAAAATATGCCTGCCCAGGCTTTAATATTCTTGCAGGACTCTCTCACCCTGGTAGTATTTTAATACAGAGACTTAGTCTAATTTTGTTTTTGAAGTACCACTTAGTGTTGAAGTAATCCGATCTTGGTCTCTGGGCCCCAGATAAAGCTTCTGGGCTCAGTGAGGTCCAAGCCTGGGTAGGACAGAAGCTGAAACAGGTATATGTGACAATATCAGCAAGGTCCAACAAGTTGGATATATCCACTTAGCAGTTAATCACAGTTGTAATAATTTAAAACATCACAAGGCCTAACATCTTAGCTTGATGTAGTATTCTTGACTAGATCTGAGTGACTAGCTGGAGAAATCCATCCACACACTTCTCAGAAAATTAAGAAATGAAATTTTTATTTGCCATGTTTATTATTCCCATTTTCTATTCTCTCGTCAATGGTATTTGTGAGGTCCAAGTTCATCAAATGGTGTTTATAGCAGATGAATTCTAAGCCCAAAGCTGAGCTTCATTTCATGACCAAATTAATCATTTCAGGCAGAATAAAAGCAATAGAACTGCTTTTTCCAGTCAGTTCACCAAAAGAGACTGATGTGTCTGTGTAGTGAATCACCACAGCCTTCAACTGGTTAACATGCCAGGATGGAACAACAAAGCCAGGACAAATATATTTTTGGCAGTATCTTTTTCTTTACTGTTGACTGATTTGTTTACTGTGTGTGCCAAAGACCAGTAAAAATATTTACAAACAGAGCAACACTTAACTAACCATGTAGAAGGAAAGATTGGTTGAAATGGTCACTAAACGCTTATCTTGAAGGCCACTAATGATATCCTTCTGCACCTCTTGCCAGCTAGGACCACGCATTTACACACATACTTCATGGGCTCATTTGTTAGTGACAATATCTGTGGTGGATGGAGATAGGTGACAGAAAATTGGAGACTTATACATTCAATTGATGCAGTTGGCTGACAGATGCAATATATTGTACAGAGTTTAACAGCAGCACTGGACCACAAGAAAGAAATTGTGCTCTCAAAATAACTTTCCCAGAGTTTTGGTTCAAATATAGTTTAATGGGATGAATGGATGAGAATGTGATTGCACCTTTCACAATTACTGTTGTACAAAACCCTGGCCAGAGTCCAAGCACAGAAGTAATTAAGGAAACCAGATTGGGGCTTGTCTATGCTTGAAATGCTCCAGTGGAACAGCTGCAGTGCTTCATTATAGAACAACCTGCACAAGCCGAAGCAGTTCTTCCTTTGGCATATGTAATTCATCTTTCCAGGAGGTAGTAATTAAGTCACGGGTGGGGAAAAAGGGCTTCCACGGGCTGAATGTGGCCCACCAAGAAGATTTATCTGGCCTGCTGCTCCACTGCCCCCAGGCCAATCAGGGCCTGGGGACAGGGGAGCCTGCAAAGTTTTCTTCCCTGCCAGTAGCTCTCGGCACTTAGTCAGCTGCTAGGGTTGACTCTAAGCACCACTTGACCCTTTCAGGGTGGGAGCAGGGAGTAAGAGACTTCACATGCTCTCTCCACTGTCAGAGACCAATCAGGGCCTCAGGACAGGGGGAAGAATGCAAAGTCTTCTCCTGCCCTGCAAGGGGCGTGCGGCACTTAGTCAACCCTAGCAGTTGACTCTAAGAGTGTGCACCCCTTGCAGGACAGGGGCAGGGTGGGAGGAGACTTTGCATGCTCCCCTCCCCCCAGGCCCTGATTGACCTAGAGGGAACTGCCAGATGTTCAGAACAGTTGGTGGTTCTCTCTCGGTGGAGTGGGGCTAAAACTTCATGCACTCCCTCCACCGCAGGCCAATCAGGGTCTGTGTGTGTGTGCGGGGGGGGGAGAAGCACGGAAGTTTCTGAAGTGCCCCCCCCATCTAAAATTATTGGCCACCCCAAACTAAGTCAATGAAGAGTTCTTGTGTCAACCTAGTGCTGTCTTTGCAGGGACTAATCTTGGCTTAACTATGTCATTCAAAGCTGTGGATTTTCTAATCTGGCCTAATTTCCTAGTGTAGACCAGACCTATGTTCATACTGATTTGCAGCTGCAACTGTGAATTCATTTGCACAATTATATGTGCACTTTATATGAATATGACAGGGTGAACAATAACTTTTGATGGGGGACCACTCCAAGAATTTGGTAAGTGGTCAAGGACTGAACTTTTTTTATATATTAATGGAAGGAGCCTGGAGTCTGGGATGGAAGTTGAGTATGGAAGGCAGCCCTGAGTAGGGGACTGGGGTGCACGAGGGGGCTTGGAGTCTGGGAGGGAGTTTGGGTAAAGAAGGGGATTGTGACCTAGGGCAGGGGATTGGAGTGCGGAAAGAGAAGCAGGTGACTGGGAGGGGGGTGGATGCAGGAAAGGATTATGACTTGGAGGAGAAGTGTAGAAGGAGGTGCAGAGGATTTGGGTTATGACCTGGGGCAGGGAGTTGGGGTACACGAGGGAGTGGGGTGCCACGTGCAGGCTCTGACTGGGAGGAACTTGCCTTAGGTGGTTCCTGGCCAGCAGCCCAGTGGGACTCTTGAGCAGGCTCCTTTGCTGTCACACCCCCATACACCACTTAAAGCAGCCAGATGCTAGGACAGTGGGTGCATCTGTGCTAGGGCAGAGGGGAGGAAGGCAGCATGTCTCCACAGGCAAAGCCCAAACAACTCCCATTGGCTGATTTCTGGCCAATGGGAACTGTGAGGCCTGTGCTGGGGATAAAAGCAGTATGCGAACTCTCTTTCCCCTACCAAGGAGCATGACACACAGAGACATATACATTTCCTCCGGCTTTGAGTGGCTTGTGGTACCACAGCAGGCAGGGTTCTGAAATTGTACGGAGGGCTGGATAGGGAAGGCTATAGGAGCTGTGCCTCTCCAAGTAGCCAGGCATGACCCAGCCCCTGCCCCCCTTCCCTATCTGACCTCCTGCTCCTAACCAACCCTTCTTGCTCTCCACCCCCTGACCATCCCATTGGGACCCCTGTCCCCTGACTGCCCCCCAGAAATTCCGCCCCTCCCAACTCCCCTGCTCCCTACTCTGACCAACTCTCCAGGATCCCTCACTACCATCCAATCCCCTCATTCTTCCTGCCCCCTTACTGCGCAACCCAGAGCACTAGGGCTGGCGATGCTACAGCTGTGCATCTGAGCCAGAGCTTACAACTGTGCCAAAGTGAGGCTGTGGGGGAGGGGTGACAGATATGGAGGGGGTAAGGGCTAGCCTCTCTGGGCAAGAGCTCAGGGCCAGACAATAGGGTCCCATGGGTCATAGTTTGCCCCCCTCTGGTCTAGCTCCTAAACCCCACAAACCATAGCCAGACACCTTCTTCCCAACAGAATAAAAGGCCCCAGTAATTTGACTATAATAAAGGACTGGTATAGTCAAACTCATGCAGGAAATATATACTATACCATGTTACTATGGTGACCATTTGCAAAGCAGTAACAGATTAGTAAATACCTATGTAAACACAGAGCATAGGGAATCTACTGGCTGACACCTGTTGATACAAAGTATGTGCATTGATATTAGGTGCTATATCAATAAAATATAAAGGGTTCAGATTGTATTACTTTTTAGACTGTACACAAGCTGTTTGGACCACCTGTTATCACACTGAATATTTTTTGCTAGTGATTCTCTGCCACACACATTTTTTCCTACTTTCCAAAGTGGACGGAATTTAATTAGTAATATTCCAAATATTATTGCTACCTTGTGCATGAAATGTGGATATGTGCTACAGTAACTTGTGCTCTCTTTTTGTTCTATTTTAAGGAAGAGACGAGACTCGCTGATATTTCAGTTGTCTGCCCAGCTGGGGAGGATTTTGTTTCACAGAATACGGCACTGTCTCTTTCTGCCAAAGAGAATAGTTTACAGACTGAGCTCCTGGCAGAAGAAACAGCCTCGAGAGAGGAACATAAATGTATATCACCTGATGACATTTCTTTGCCACTGCTTTCCGAGATGCCTGAATCTGACCTCTTGCAGTCTGAAGCTGAGCTGGAAGAGCAGCCTTGCTGTAGTTCTCATAGTCTGCATGTTAGCTCCTGTAGCTTGCAAATGCAGATAAACACTGGCAGCAAAAGAATGATTGATGAGTTTGATCTCTTAACACCTGTTGCTTATGCTGACACTTCATATCATAGAAAAGAAACCACATCAGATGAATCAGAGAGGTTTTTACCTTCTACATTAGAGCACTATCCAAAATTTGGAGTAGAATCTCCTTTGACTTGTAGTTCACCAGAAGTACCTGAAATAATCACTGTTTCCAGCACAATACATGCAAACCCTGTGTATAGCATGATGAGTGAAGTGTGTGAGACACATTTACAACACAGTGAAGCTTACCAAAGCATGACAGAAACACAAGAACAATTGCATGACATTAATAACATTACTAAAACTCAGGATTGGCCGCATGCTTTGCCTGATGCATTCTCAGATCTCGTGTTTCAATCAGACACCACCAGAAGCTGTCAGAGGCAGATGGTCACTCAAGAAGAGATTAAAAATGTATCAGAAAAAAACAGCATGGTCAGCCTATCTGGACAGGCGCCTAACTTCTCCAAACTGCTGTCCAATGTAACCGTGATGGAAGGTTCTCCAGTGACTTTGGAAGTAGAAGTAACAGGATTTCCAGAGCCTTCACTGACATGGTGGGTAGCTTATAATGAGAAAAACTAAATATACCTATAGGAATACACATTGAACTGCTTACAACTGTGTGCACTAATCTTAAAATTAGTGAGAATTGCTTGTTATCCATATCATACTACACTGCTGCATGGTTCCATTTACAAAGAAAACTTATTTTCAATTAACCCACTTGAAATAATTTCACTGCTTTCAATCTTTATGAATTATCAGAGTAGCAAACATTTATTTTCAAATGAAATTACATCAAACACATTTTTCTTTTATATTTCTTTTTAGCATAACATTCCACTTTTTAAAATGATTGTGAAAGGAATTTCCCCTTTTACAGCCAACATAGGATCATAGAACACTAGAACTGGACGGTACCTTGAGAGGTCATCGAGTCCAGCCCCCTGATCGCGCAGCAGGACCAAGCACCATCTGGATCATACCTGATCTTAAATATCTCCAGTGGTGGAGATTCCACAGCTGTCCTAAGCAATTTATTCCAATGCTTAAATTCCATATAATGTGCCTTCTACTTGCAAGCATCCCTTCTTCCCACAAATGGGAAAGACTGAAAGCAAAGAAAATAAGCCTATAAACTAGGAACTCCAGTTTTTAACTGAATATTTACTCTCTCCTATCCACTTTTCCCATGCACTGTTTTTAATAATCAGAAGTAGGAACTTTTATTAGTGAGAAATATAAGTATCTCTTAAGGGTAAAAATATTTTGATAAATCCATTAATAAAGATTTTTAGAGACTGATGGAAGGTCCCAAAGATTTCACAATAATGTAATATTTATTAATTTATGTGCTGCACTAGTTTATTTTAATAAATTCAACTGCAATTTCCCAGAGCCATATTACCCACTTTTCTTCCTAATTCCCATATAGAATCTCTGTTTTAATTTGCTAGAACTATAATGGAAAGCATAGACTGATAGAGAAACATCTTGCGCAGGAACGGCGTGAGGCTGGCTGCGGCAGCTGGCGCCCCAGGCGGAAGGCACGATTGGCGCCCCCGCCTGCACAGCCGTCAATGGCCATGACGTAATCATCGGGCGCCCAGGCGCCCTGTGACGTCGGCATCGGGTGCCCGGGGCCAGCGGCGCCCTAGGTGACTGTCTAGGCTCACAGGCCACCCCTGATCTTTCCAACTGTAGAGAGAGTTTACCACCTACCATAAACTAACACACACTGAGTACAATTTATTTTTGCTGATCTTTTAATAATGTGAATTTCCCCCCGAAGAATTCCAAAAACATAAGAAATATTGAAATATGCAGTATATTCTGCCAATATCAGTAATATAGTCATCACTTTTTAATTCTTCTACACTTTGAGAAGGTATTGCTGGTGAATTAAGTCACTTCAATTCAGTTTTAAAGCACTATTAACACTGATTCAGCACAAAAGAATAAATTGCTGGGATTTTTATTTATTTTTCAAAATAAATTTTAAGGTGAACCATTTTTCAATCCACAATTTTATGAAAATTGTGAAAGTGGATTTTTTTACAATAAACATTTAGTTCAGAATCATTTTATCCAATATTGATTGCATAGATGTATATATTTTAACAGACATAGGCATGGAGGTTTTACATGTAGGCAATGTTAAATATAGTAATAGTAGAAACTACAGAATCAGACAACTAGGGCCTACCTTAAGAGGGTAAATCAGCCATTTCACTATTGAAATGGGCCAGATCTTCTGATGGTGTAAATTGGCATATGTCCCCTGAAATCAGTGAAGCTACATTCATTTTCAATAACTGAGAACTTGGCCCAAATGAATTACACCAGCTTTACACTGGCAAAAGTGAGAGGAACACCAGGTTCATCTACTCTCTTTCTGTTTTCTCTGACTGAAATTAATATGTATGTGTATCTGTCTAATCTGTCTAAGGTACTTGCATGGCCACATCATCACTAGAATATTTGGATGCCTCATAGTCTTAATGTTCTTATCCCCTGGTTGGAAACTGAGACACACAGAGACTAAAGCCCAGATACTCAAAGGTCCCTAACTTCCATTGATTTCTTTGGACCAGGTACTTTAAGCCCACTTCCTCATAAGTATTTAAGTGACTTCCCCAAGTTCACTCAGGAATCCAAGCATGGAATTGAATCTAGGTCCCCAAAGTTGGTGACTTGTGCCTTAGCCACCAAACCATCTTTCTTTAGAGGGCCTGCATGATGCTCTGTGCACCACTTAAGACCCTTTTAAGCCTCCAGTACAGAGCTCATGTGATGCATAGGTGAATTTAATCATTTGTTAGCAAGATTTTATTGATCAGGACTCTCTTTTTTGTATCTTTTCTAACCTTATACATATTTGAACATGGTAGCTATTTTGTATCTCTGTTTAAATGTAACTCTTCTAAATGGAGGTAATTGGGGAGCGGCAGCTCGCAATGACTGCTACGGCTATCATTATTGTAGAGATTGTCTGAAATCAGCAATTTCTGCTTCTGCAAATATTGATGTAAACCTCACTTGAAAACTGACTCTCTGCTTCAGGTACAAGAAGGGCCAGAAATTGACTGATGATGAGCACTTAAAACTTTTACAAAAGGAGACAAAGCATGTTTTGTTCATTCAGAAGGTGTGTGATGGAGATGCTGGCCTCTATGTTGTTCGGGCTAAAAATTCTAGTGGCACTATCTCATCAAGTGCCATCCTCCATGTGAAAGGTAACAGGCCACCTATCACAAGAATAAACTGGATAATGTTGTGTCTCATCTATATTAGCGTATCACTAATGTACTGGCTATTCACATAGTAAGTGTACTACTGACAACACTGGGACTTGATTCTCACAGACTGAAGCAACAATAAATCAGTTATCTTCCACTGCACCTTTCACAAACGGTACCAATCTGCTTTTTTGTCACGCTGGATATTTTGTTAATGCCACTACTACATCAGATGTTCATCTTCTTTCATCATGTTAATTTTTAGTTTAAAATGTAGTTGGGATGATGGACAGAGCTTTGCACTCTATAACAAAGACGTCTTAGACTTAATAAAAAAAATGTTACAAAAGGTGTTGTTTGTAGACATCATAATGTGTCACAGTGCATCCAGGAACATGATGCTCAAATCAATGTATGTAGCATGATGCTTTTTACATCAAATGTGTTTTCTGATTATACTTTTCTCACATACACTTTAAATGTTTCTTGGCATGGCATAGCTACTTGAATCTGCACAGTACAGAAGTGTAATCATAGTTTAATTGGCATACATCAGATCATTATATTCTATTTTAAGTACTACAGCTCTTCTTAATAAAATTTATCTTTTTTGAGTGACTTTAAAGCAAGGGGACAGAGCCTCAGCTGCTGTGCATTCCCATAGCTTCACTGAAGTCAGTGAAGCTTTTCTAACTTTCCCCAGCTCAGGCTCTGCCCCCTTGTAAGTGATAGTTAAGAGAAGTAGCTCCTGCTTTATAATATTCCCATGACAACCAACCAAATCTTTTAAAAGTAAGACTTTTTCCAATATATTTAGCTGTTCTGTATATGCATTTATATGTGCCATAACTCCTACGAACCTTTTTACTCCTCTTAAAAAATGTTAAATGGAAGATACAGATGTTTTATACTCCCATCTATAAACATGAACAGGGATAAATAATCTTCTGTGCATTGGACCTTGAGCCCATTTTTAATTCCTTTTTAATAAATTGTTTTCAAAGAGATCAAAGAATATACTAAAAGATAGTATAAATGATAAAATGAAAAGGAAGGATTTTTCTGTGTGGTTCCATTTAAATTGCTGCAGTCAGAAATGAGCCGTAATTTTAAAACTGTAACATTAAAAAGAGGAATTTGCTTGCATGTGTTACATTTCAAGGACAAGTAAAATATTGTTATATTATAAACACAGTGAATAATTTACTTAAGGTTTTTGACAAAGGTAAGAAAATAATCATGCCACTGGAAGATTTTGCCTATAAATTATCAATCTATTTAAAGAGTGAGATATACAACTTATTAATTTCTACTATTTCTTATGAAAGTTGGGCACATGTATCCATACACTAAAAACAGTTGGTGAACATTGGTATAATCTTTTTCTTTTATCCTTTGCTGCTTTCACAAAATGAATCTGCTTTTGTGGGAAATTTATAAGGCCTGGCAGGTGGGGGTGGAACATACAGTTTCTTGCAAAATTTACAATAAGAAAATAAATGATTGACTGCACAACAGGATCTGAACAGAATCTAGATTTCAAATAGCACAGAGCCAGTGAGGCTAGAGACAAACATTTGAATTTTTGGCACAGAGGCTGTGTCTCTATTTAAATCTTGTAACTTCAAAACAGAAGTCCTCAAGGCAAAATATCTTTAGCAACAGGAAAAGGGGAGCTGACCTGATGGGGGAAGACAACATATTATAAACAGAATTTATATTAAGTCTAGCCATCACATGTAAATGTTGTCTCATAAGAATTTTTCCAAGTAAATAAGCTATATAGATTAGTACTTTTCAGGAAACATGGTTTTCATTTTACAATAAACTAGTTTAATAATAACTAGCATCTTGAATGTTTGAAATTTCTCCAAAGAACAGTTTAAATTCATTGCCTTGTAATTATATCCATATTCATTGCTACAAAACAACTAACAAAGCAACTATGTTGAGACTCCTACTTGCATATACAGTATAATAAACATTGAGATTAAACAAAAGTATCCTTCCAATGTGTTTCAGGTATTTCCTGTTACTAAAGTGTTGGTGCCTGATTGCCTGATCTTCATTTAAAATCAACAGAATGCTGGAAGGCTGTAGCCAGCCAGTAGATTTGTAGTCACTGCATGAAAGGTGGTGGGTCTAATTTAGTGTCAAGGCTTTGCAGTTTTCATCATACTGGACTAGATTAGAACACACTCAGCAGTGTGAGAATTCAAAGTCAACCCTCTCTCCCCCTCCACCAAGGGGATATTTTGATCTTCTCCAGGATGTTTCTCCAGAGGCTGAAACCCATGGGTTTATTTTTATACCACCAATGTTCTGTGCAGATAGGGAAGGAATGTGAAGTCTTCTAAAGAAGTGGTTTTCAACCAAGAATACATATACTCCTGGAAGTATGCAGAGGCATTCCAGGTGGTACATCAATGCCTCTGGATACTTGTGTAATTTTATAACAGGCTACATAAAAAGCAGTAGCAAAGCTATTACAAACTCAATTTTCAGACAATAACTTGTTTATACAGTTCTATATTTAGACACTGAAATGTAAGTACAAGATTTATATTCCAATTGATTTATTTTATATTATATTTGCAGAAAGTAATCAATTTTTCAGTAATAGCACGCTATGGCATTTTTAAATTTTTGTCTGATTTTGTAAACAAGTCATTTTTAAGGTGAAACTTGGGATGACACAAGACAAATCAGACTCCTGAAAAGATTACAGTAATCTGGAAAGGCTGAGAAACAGTGTCGTGGAGCATGTCTACCCTGCAGCTGGAGTTGTAATTTCCAGCATGGTGGACATGCACACGCTAGTTTTGTTTTAGCCAGCATGCTGAAAATAGCAGCATAACTGCAGTGGGGCTAGGAGGGCAGGCTAGCTGCCCAAGTATGTACCCAGGGGGTTGGATAGGACTGCACCCAGTCTAAGCTAGAGAGTGTACAGCTACCCAAACTGAATATTACCTTGCAGCTGCTATGGAGATGTACCTCTGGATGATCTGGGAGATCCCTGATTTCTGGAGCTCAGGGTGCCACTTAAATTTTTTGCTTTTGATGGGACAGCTAGAAGTGTTGTCATGAAATATCATGAGTCAAGGCACTCCAATCTCAGGTTTCTGTTTTGAATAATATATTTTGGGGACTTTATTTATCTTCTGTTTTCTGAGTTTGCAGTACACTCAGATCATATTTTCAGTCTTGTCACTGCAATTATGCAGGTTGAAGCCTTACTTCCTTTAAAGTGAAAGCTGAGATTCTTGCTTGAGCTCTTGCCCCAAGAAGCTAAGGTTTTAAATTTAAATATAAAATATCCTCAGGCTTCTCATAAAATAGCAAGAATGGCAACACTGGAAGGGCTGTCGGATGTGTGTGTTCAAAGCTGCATCTCATCTCCAATTGTAGACACCCCATCTAGGCAATATCTACACTAGACACTATTGCAGGCACAGAGTCTTCTAGAATGGGTGTAAATGGCAATATAGCCAGTGAGGCAGTATACCTTTGAGGCATGGCATATGTGATGCCTGAAGGGTGGGGGAAGATATGCAAGTATATATCCTACCAGCTTGCTACTTGTTCAAGCCGTGTCTCTCCATCTAGACTGCTATTTTTAACTCTATAGTTTTCAACTGCAGGAGCCTTTCCTTGCCACAAGAAAAGACTCCTTCAGAGAAGGAAGGCTCTGGCAGGGCTGCGTGCAGGCAGTAAGGAAAAGGATTGGGCAAATCTCCTGAGCCAGGATCTTTCCTCACCGCATGGAAAGGCTCTGGCAACAGAAAGAAAGCTGAAGCTTTCCCCCTAGTCTTCCTGTGCCACTAGAGTCTTTCACTGACACCTATAGCTACACACTGTAATATAGATGCACCTGGCAGTTCACTATGGTATGTAGCTATGTGTACTTTACATCCCACCAAAAGTTGTATGTACTGTAGATTTAGCCGTAGAGTGCAACTTTCAAAGATATGGAAAATGTAAAGCATAGCATAGGTGTATGGGTTATACTTGTACAGAAGAAGCTGCTTTCCATTGCTTAATGCCCCATTCATTAGCCAGGCTGAATGGTAACCTGAGTAGTTTCCCCTTCATAAATGCTGTGTTCTACCTGATAAAGCAGCTCATGTCTTACAACAACTCCTTACTGGAGAAGGCTTGAGAGGTGATCAACTCCTGTGCCAAAGCAAAAGGAATAGTGAGCACACTGAGGAAGTAAAATTCACCCCAGTATGTTTTGAACTAGGTAAACGTAAGGGCTACATCTAGACTGGCATGATTTTCTGGAAATGCTTTTAACGGAAGAGTTTTCCGTTAAAAGCATTTTTGGAACAGAGCGTCTAGATCGGCACTGACGCTTTTCCACAAAAGCACTTTTTGCGGAAAAGCGTCCGTGCCAATCTAGACGCGCTTTTCCACAAAAAAGCCCCGATCGCCATTTTCGCGATCGGGGCTTTTTTGCTGAAAACAAAGCTGAGCTGTCTACACTGGCCCTTTTGCGCAAAAGGACTTTTGCCCGAACGGGAGTAGCATAGTATTTCCGCAAAAAGCACTGATTTCTTACAGTAGGAAGTCAGTGCTTTTGCGGAAATTCAAGCAGCCAGCGTAGACAGCAGGCAAGTTTTTCCGGAAAAGCGGCTGATTTTCTGGAAAAACTGGCCAGTCTAGACACAGGTTTAAATGGAGGTAAAGTGACCCATGAGGACACTTTGCACTAAGGTAAACTGCAGAGAACCGCACTCTATTCCAATTAAAGTCAGAAGGAGTCTTGACATTGGCTTTAAAAGTGGCAAGATTGGGCCCTGGATGTTTGCTTTCCTTTTCAAAAGATCTGCTTTATTTATATATAAAATGGCCAGAGAGATACAACATCACACTCTGGGTGACCTTGAACATCTGCCTGCTGGAAACTTGGACTGGGTATCGGGATGGATGGATCACTCTGTAATTACCATGTTCAATTCATTCCCTTTAAAGCATCTGACAAGTGCCACTATTGGAAGTCATAATATTGGGCTAAATGGACCACTGGTCTGATATTGGGATAAATGGCCCTTCTTATGTTTCTACCCCCAAAAATTAAAAATAATTCTAGATATGGAACTTAATCTTGCTTTCCTTATTTGTTGTGTCTCATGCAAAATTCACACTGCTTTCCATGAGATTTTTGCCTGAATGAATAATTCAAAATTTGGCCCCAGAAAAGAAAAAGAGAAAATAAGCCAGCTTTCCTAACTGAAATGCATTATTATTTTTAGGACTACTCAGTAGGTGGGCAGGGGATATGGTATTTACAGTACTACTGCATAAGGAGTGGATGAAAGTGCAAAATAGATTAAGAAAAATTCTGTAAATACTTTTAGCAAACATGAGTGTAAGGGCTTCAGATTGTCTAGTCCCTTTTGTAGATGTTAGTAAATCAAATGCAATACTAGTATCTTTAAGTAGTTATCTCAGAGTGTTGCTAGATTAGTATGCACTTGCTTTTCACTTGCCTTAAACAGAAATAGTATATTTAATCTAATATTTAAATCACTATTCACTTTACAGATAAGGGTCTTTTAATCTCTGCCTGATACTCTGGTTGCAGAGCTATTTTGCTTGGGGGAGGGAGGCACTAAAGGGCCTCTTCCAATTGTTAATACTGGGATTTATAAGCAAAGGTACAATAAATGCTGATTATTGCCAAATGCCCTGATGTAAAAAACTGCTTTATATTGTCACATTTTAAATGGCTCAAGGTGAGAGAGGGTTTTCTTTATTCTCTCTGGGAGAATAGTAGAGCTGTCACTCCTGGGGAAATATTTCCTGATATTCTGCCTGCCTTACTTTTTACTCTTTTTAACGTAGTACTTTTAGTTGGAGCTCCCCGATCACCCTAAATACTTCCACGGTCTTTTTCACATCTACACCCTTCAGATACTTACAGGTGAACAGACCCTGTGAAAATTCTTTGTACCCTGGGCCTAATGAGCTCTCAAAACTTCCTGCGTGCAACTGCACCTAGCGCCTGCTCGGGACCAGCAGCGTGAGGGCGCCCGGCGCGGGTTGCTTGTTAACTCTTCCAGCCGCCGAACAAGGGTTTGCGCTTTGTAACCATTCCCGTCCTAATTTTAAAGCCACCGTGTTGCCGTTAGCCCTTTCCGCAGAGAACTGGGCTTTGTGCCGGCTGCATGTTCTCCCGCCACCCCCAGCGCTCCCGGGACCACTGAGCTGGTTGGTATTGGCTCTGCCACGGGCTGTTTCCAACCTGACCTCCACTCGCTTGAGCCTAGACCCGCTCCCTGCCTGCCCCCTGAGCAAAGGAGCCTGCGTTTCAAAACCCGCCTGGCTTTGAGCCAGCCATGTTAAAGGCAGCGAAGCCCCGCTGCCGGGCTCGCGGTGCGGTTGGAACAGGCTGGGTGGCCGGTGCAGAAGATGGGAGGGAGGAAAGGGGTTCGTGTGTTTGTGCCACCCAGCAGATTTGCCAGCGGGACCAAGCGTCACTCAGTAATGGAGGAGCCAGCACAGGGGGCTCGGGGCTCTGGGGAGGGAGCAGAGCTAGAGACGGCTGCAGCAGGTGGTTTTCCTCTCAGCGCTGAAGCTGGGGAGGTCTGTCTCATCCCGCGCTTATCTGCGGGCTCTCTGCTTGTGAGCAGACTTGGGCTGTTGGCTGAAGAAAGCCAGGTTGTTTTTAAAGAGAAACGAGTTTGTCCCTTCAGGGGCCATTTAGCACTGAAAAATTACAGCATGTGGGGCTGTCCCTCCTCACCCTGAGTGCCAGAGCCCTGTCTGAGATGTCAGAGTGTTACAGAACAGGTGGCAATGAAAGCTGTAAAGTTCCTGCTATAAAGTTTCTATTACTGGCAGTGTTCTTTGTAAGCTGTGCACTTCTGCAGCCGCTTGGGAGAGATTCAAATGCCACCCAGCACAGCATCTGCAGCTTGGTTTTGTGTTTCTGTTAGTGGTGCACATTTGCACATACCTTGGTGCACATAACAAAACTTATTCTGCATAGGGATAAAAACTCAGTTCATGATGGAAAAGATTAGAGGCAACATTGGTTACTAGCCAAAGAGGTTTCATGAGTTGGACTCTTCCACCTCTCAGAGCCAGCAAGTGGGGGAAAGCAGGAGTGGTGCTGAGGGAAGCTGGTTCCCCCCCTCACTG